ATCTTCGTAGGGACACGGCACATGCCCCCGTTGACGCCTTGTGGTAGCCGACAAGGAAAAATAAGAGGGTGAAAAGCCCCGAAGAGAAATACGACCAAGATCAAGCGAAACTCATCGAAAGAAAGTAAAGATTTTCTCTTCGGCGATCCCTTCTTTCCATATTTAGTGGGGAATGAAGATAAATAATGGTTAAATGGGTGACATCATCTTATCCGTGTCATGACTATTCAATGGATAGACTTTTCTAAAAGAGGACCCGGTTTTTCTTTCCCAACCCCCCCTGGTCTCCCTGGTCTCTCAGCCAATGGGGAGGGGTGAGAAGGGGTGTATCGGTGAAAAGAAATATTATTATTATCTTTGAAGCTCATCGATCTAATTCATTTAAATCGCTGATGATAAAGTTCTCATAATGAAATATGAACATGGTTATTGATTCGCGCAGTCCATAGACCATATTATAACTTCTCTCGTCCATTTGAACACGAATCGTGAGCTAAAAATTTTACTCCCTATGGAAAGAGCGTTGATGCCCACCATAGTATTATTACTCTGGAGTTTCGTGAGCATTAAGAGTGGGCCTCAGAGATGAAATTTTCCAGGTGCGATTCGAGGGCTAAACATCGAGATAAAAGAATGTTCAAAAGATAAGAAAGAAGATGTTCAAGTTGGGTGATGCTCAAGCTGGTCCATCGATCATGTCTCGTATGAAATTATTAGGACTAATCTTTCGTCTCGCCACCTCGAACTAAGGAGTATTCAAAAGATAAGACGGAAGAACGATACATAAACAAAACAAGAACATGTCCCCGACGTCTCTTCTAAGACCGCGCCTTGACCCGGGAATAGTAATCTACCTTCTCCTCCACCGGTCACGTCACAGTTGCTGAGGGTCCAACCGCCCTTTTTAAAACAATAGGAAGACGGCTAAATGATTGATCGATATGTTAGTTGGTAGGCTTAATGTGCAATAAATTATTCCCGAGAGCTTGGAATTGAACTCCCAAGAGGACGGGGGGAGATTAGATTTATTCACAAGTGCATTGCATCGCGACACTAAGCAAAACAGAGCCTTGAGGTGGTCGATCCGCCATTAGCTGTGAAGGCTTATTCTAATATTTAGAAAAATATATATATCCATCTATCGACTAACAAAAATTTTTGGGATAAGGACACTAGAAATGCTATAACTTTCGTACGGCGCTCACTTGAGTGCCATAATTTTTTTTTGCTTACTTGAGTGCCACATCGAAGTAAAATAGATAATTTGAGTGCCACTTCCGGCGAAAATAGATCACTTGAGTGTCATTTTCGGCAAATGAGCTGACGTGGATTTTTTAATTAATTTTTCATCCGACGTGGATTTTTTTAATGTTATTTCATTGATTTATTGATTTTTAAAATTTTTCTTTTTCTTTATCTTTTTATTTTTCTTTCTTATTTTTGTTTTTTTTTTTTCAAGGTTGGCGAGGGTCGCCAGTGACCCTCGCCGGCGGCCGCCTCGCCTACAGCGGCGAAGGCTCTCGCCAAATCTGGCAAGGTCGCCTCGCCCGTGGCCGCGAATGCTCTTGGCGAGGCCATCGCGGCCTCACCGATCGTGAGCGTGGCGGCAAAGACTCTCGCCAGATCTGGCAAGGGTTGCCGGTGATCCTCGTCGGCTGCCGACTCACCTGCGGCGGTGAAGGCTCTCGCCAAATCCGGCGAGGTCGCCTCTCCCGCTGCTGCGAACGCCCTTAGTGAGGCCATCGTGGCCGTAGGCATGGCGACAAAGGCTCTCGCCAGATTTGGCGAGGCCGCCTCGCCCGCAGCCGCGAAAGCTCTCGCCAGATCCGGCAAGGCCGTTTTGCCCACGGCCGCGAAAGCCCTTAGCGAGGCCATCGCGGCCTTGCCGACACAGGCGAGGTGGCGAAGGCCTCGCCCGCGACCGGCGAGACGGCCTCGCCCAAGGCCTTTGTGGCCAAGGGCATGACGGCCCTCACCCAATCTGGGCGAGGCCTTCACAGACGGCGAGGGTCACCGGTGACCCTCGCTAGCATTGAAATTTTTTTTTGCAAAAATAAAATAATAATAATAATAATAATTCAAAAAAATATTAAAATATTGTCCACGTCAGCTCCAGCGAGTCCACATCGGCTCCGGCGAATCCACGTCAACTCCGGCGAAACCACATAAGATTTTCTGGGTACTAAATGACATTTGGCACTCAAGTGATTACTTTTTCAAATTTTTGGCACTCAAGTGATCAAAAAAAAGTTATAGCACTCAAGTGAGCACCGTACGAAAGTTAAGGCACTCCTCCTTGTCCCAAAAATTTTGGTCAATTCCGCAATGTCAACTTGCCAAAATGGATAACAAAATATGTTCGAATGCATTTGGCGTATTGTGTAAGCTAAGGTTGTTAATGCCACTTGTTACAATTTTAAAATTTTCGAATTCGCTCATGCACTTGTTTGTGACTCGTTCTTCTTTCAAGCTATTCATTTTACTTAGAGATAAGATAGTCAAATAGGCCACTTGTTATGGAAAACCATGGTGGGGACAGGAAAATTAAAAAGAAAAATGATAAACCTATTGTATTTGTGCCAATTCAATCTTAAACCTTTTAATTTGGTCAATTTAGTTCTAAACTTTTTAACAATTTGACAATACAGTCTTTCTGGCCAATTTGACCGAAAATTGTTGACATAAACGCCTACCGTTCTGCGTACGACTGGCACTAAAGTAAACATTTTTTGTAATTTTTTTTAAAAAAAATTGAACTTTTATATTATTTTTCATCTTTTATTTCCATTGTGATCAATAAGGCCTGGCTTTGCTAGCCGAAGGCGAGGCGACCCTCACCTAAGGCGGATCTTGTCCTCGCTGACCATGGGCAAGCGGCCCTTGCCCAAACCTAGGCAAGACCTTCGCTGCCTCACCGGCAGGTGACTCTCGCCCAGATCTAGGTAAGTGGCGGCCTCACCGACTACGGGCAAGGCATCCCTCACCCAATTATGGGCTAGGCCTGGCCTCCCCGGTGAGGTCCCGGCGATCATTGCCGGATTCCGTCATGTCACGTAAGATGGTCAGTGTCTCCGTCAACGATTTCTAACCAAAATTAACCGAGAGGACTACATTGGCAAATTGTCAAAATGTTTAAGACTAAATTGGCTAAATTAAAAGATTTAGAACTGAATTGATACAAGTCAAATAGGTTTAGGACTTTTTTAAGTAATTGTCCCTCCTAACAGCCCCTTCAAATCTTCCCATGGTTTTCGCTAACTTAGACAGAACATGATGGTATCAAAAACGCCTTTGGCGAGAAGTTTGAGTTGGAGGAAAGTGAGAAATGAAAAATAATAAAATGCACGTATTTATACTTGTCAATATGTCTAATCCGAGGGAGATAACATGCCAACTTGGTCTAGTAGAGGACAATGCAAAAGTAATATGTTAATCTCCTCTCGCATAAAAAAAACTGGTTTGACACTTACGCCGGCCATTTCTGTTGGATTTTCGCTTGCTTTCTACTTGGTTCGTGAAGTCAATAGAATAGCACGAAAGAGAACAGAGAAAAAGGAACAAAAGTAAGCTCTACACATGGTCAATGCTCGATTCTACTTTCAAATATTCTCCAACTATGTAAATTAAAAATAGACAGCATTGAATATGGCATTTGGTTCAAGTTGCTAAAGATGAGCTCATTGATGCGACCGTCACATGATGTTTGTTGTATCATGAAATTGAGATGCATTGCGTTTGCAAGTACGTGTAGTTCTCTTGAGATGACCCACCCACTTGGGTTTGGCATTTCATCAGTCGGCTGCATTGGTTTCGTGAAAAATCGACCGGTTTTGATATATTTTCCTAAAAATGATCACTTTATCGCTTGCAAAAATAAATAAACGAATAGTATTTTCACAATCAATAATAACATATACAATGCATTTTATCACTTTATCACTGCATGTTGCTTCGATCATCTTAATCATGATGAGAAAGTTTCTTGCCCGGCTAGATATGTTCTTTTAACACGTCAAAAAACTAAAAAAGAAAGGACCATCCTAATTTCCACACTGCATCATCCCTCTAAGACTATAGAAGGCACGCGAGTTTGACTAAGCACACGAAGTCTAAAAGCTTGTGGAAAAACCATGCATGCTGTTAAGAGCCGGCCAATATACTAGTCGTGGTGGTACTTTGGATGGGTGTTTCTAGGGTGACTTGGTCCTATGCGCTATAAAATCGCCATGCCGTGTCTTCGCCGTCCGGATGCAAGAGATGTGATGCCCGCCCGGGGGATGGAAAGTTGCTCCTCACTGTCGAATCAAGAACTTCTACCATCAAACGCGAATTTGCCCTTGTAAAAGACCCATAACGGGAAAAATAATATGGGACAGGAGAATACATAACGAAACGAGCACTCAACCATGTACTCGCATGCATCTAGCGTATCGATAAACAATTAGGCCTAGACCTAGCTGGATTAATTATTCGAAACAATTGTAGTTGTTTACCAACACTTATCAAAACTTACTCGTCAAACAAAATATCAGGAGAACCTTTTTTGTCAGGTGCTTGATTCCGTGGGGATTGGTGTACAAAAATCGAGAATCAGTATGCGTAGAATATACTCATATCATATCCTAAGTTATATCCAGGCTACCGAACAAAGGTCGTTTTATTAACATGGCCCGTATTAAATGTGGCGCGCACGAGTTGTGTTAGACCCATTGGGCCGACACCGTTCTCAAGTCCCCAAAAAATGTAAGAGGCCAATGTAACTAGCGAGACTCAACTATTAAAAAAAAAAAAACTAGAAATCTTTTTGGGCTCAAAGCTGACCCGAACCCATATTGCCCGGATCCAGATCCAGCAACTTCATGGGCCGACAAGGCCTTGTTCTCTTCTCGACGTAGCTGGGCCTGGGCCTGGGCCTTTAGTCAGTGCCTTCTCTTTTTCTGTTTTCCTTTTTCAATTTTTTTTTAAATCGAAAGAGATAAAAAGCTAGCAGTGGCCTCTCTTATCTCGAAGTCAGAAAGCTCGCGCTGCTGCCCGGACGACGACGGCGACGCCGACGAAGAAGAAGACGATGGCACAGGCACTAGCGACGCCGGTGGCGCCGTCACTCTCGCTCATCAGCAACCGCGGAGGGAGCTCCTCCTCTCCCTTCTCCGCCCTCTCGCTCCCCGTCGCCGCCCCTCCCAAGGTCATTCTCATTTTTCCCCCTTTCCTCCTCTGCCTTCTCTTCTTTGGTGGGTGGGGGTGGTCCTCGTCGTGTTCTCTTTGCGGGCTTCGGCTTCGGCTTCGGAATTCTTCGCGCTCGGTTTGATATGCGTTCAATTCCTGAAGAATCGACTGGAATTTGAACATTCCAGCCTTCTGTTGATCTTTGAATTAAGCTAAAGAGAGGATTTCACGAAGCTCTCTGAATCCATTAGCGGCATACTGACTTAGTTTGGTTCAAATTCCTTTCTTTCGGCATACTGACTTAAGTTTAGGATCGTATGCTTGGTTGCACTGTGAGCTTAGCGCGCCATCGTTGCTCAAAAATTTCGTGTACATTGCGCTTCGGTTGAATGGATTGGATGGGTTTTGCTGGTTTTTGTCGATGTGCTTGAGCAGAAGATTCGCGTCGTGTTGTTGTTCTTTTGCTCTCTCGTATTGCTGGATAGCGAAACGGATGTGATCACCCCTCTTGCGGAATGGTGTCATATTCATGCTGGGTTTCGCGTGTCATCTGTAGCTCCAAGGCCTAAGCATCCGGTGCGCCCGTGTCGGAGGTGTGGAGATCCCGAACAATAAGCGCGTCGAGTACTCTCTCCAATACATCCACGGCATCGGCCGGACCCGAGCTCGCCAGATACTCTGCGACCTCAGCATGGAGAACAAGATCACCAAGGATCTGTCGGAGGAAGAGCTCATCACGCTCCGTGATGAAGTTTCCAAGTACATGATCGAAGGCGATTTGGTAGTCCACCCCCCTCCCCTTTTTGCATTGTTCTCTTAGATCTCCCGGCGCTATCCTTCTTAGCGTTCCCTTTTTTTTCGCGCTTTGGTGATGCAGAGGCGGTTCAATGCGCTCAACATAAGGAGATTGAAGGAAATCCAGTGCTACAGAGGGACGAGGCACATCCAGGGGCTGCCTTGCAGGGGACAGCGCACCAAGAACAATTGCCGGACGCTGAAGGGCAAGCGCGTCGCTATTGCAGGGAAGAAGAAAGCGCCTCGTTAGCCAGATTTAACCGGTTCGTTTTATCTGTGATGATCGCTGAAGCGAGAAACTCGACTTTGAACTCCATTGTGCAGGAGAAGTAAAACGCGTCTTTTAAGCTAATGAAATTTTCTTCAGCAGTGCCCGAGTTCCGTCGGTTTCTTTACTTTGGGGAGCGTCTCCTTTCCTGCATAATCATTAACTTGTTCTTGCCTATGTCCGAAACATGATTATTCAGTATCAAGAAGTTGCATCATTATTCTCAATTTTCGAAATCAGAGACTGCATAACCGGGAGAAGCTGATATCTGGTTATGACAAATGTAGTTTGTGTGTTCGGTACAAACATGAGTTAAGTTAGGGGATGCGGCGTCGTGTAGGTGAGTCGGGCGATACCTTGGTCCGGCGGCGGCGGCATGTTCTGCTTACGTACTGCATTATCTGTACTCTGAATGTTCTCAAGGTCTTTTCTGCAGTCTCGGTTTCACTCTGACCTTGTTGTAGCCATCTTTGTGGAGTCGATTCTTGGTAGCATATTGAGGTTGCAATTTGTTCATCAATTGCTCGAGCATTCACGCTGCCCATATCACCTCTCTTTCCGTCGACTTTGGGTCACATCTTCATCAGGATTCAATTAAGTACCCCATTACTTCCTTCATGACAACTCATGAGGTCCCTGGAGTATATCTTTTGTTACTTGAAGCGAGTCACATTGGTCTCCGCAGCCCTGCCACGGAGAAGATTGGCATGGATATTCTTCGCCAATCCGTCGCATGGTCGCTAAAACAAGCACACGACCCTAACTTGAAGCAGGTGAGTCTCGTACGGTAGGCGCGTTGCTAGTGATCACGAATTGAATCCATCGAGTCCGAATAGTTAGATTAACACAGGCCGTGTGGTCAATGTCTGCTCTAAATCCTAACAACTTCACCTGTCTACTCTCCTAGTCTTCTTCACATCGAATCACTTGCATCCTATAATAGTTTGTTAAAATTTGATGATCATTGACAAAAACTAACCAAATAAGATCATATACGTTCTTCCCTATCCAAACTCCAAAGAAGAAAGAGAGCAATCACGCTGTTAAGGTGGCTAAGCCACAGGAAGTCGATTGAGATATATGATTAATCTACAGTTTCAAACTCAATTGACCGTAAGTTTCCGATGGGATGGGCGCAACTATCGCCGCACGCTAAGCAGTGGCTAAATCCACGGACGATGCTTTGGCAACACATCTCGAGTCACGAGTCACGAATCTACGAGAGAAAATATGCACACGAACTTGACCTGAGCAGCACACATCTATCGATGGGGCATTCTTAGCAGATCGACTAGACCCAGGACCACATGAATCGATCTATCTCCACCGTCGATCGTGCAGACTCGACATGCGGAGCACAGGCAATCAACAGTTGAGATAGAGCCGATATAATGAACTGGGTTCAAGCGAGAGCTATTACCTGTTCAAGAAACAAAAGAGAGCATCAAGCAAAGCAAAGCAAACACAAAGTATAACAGTGATGATGCCTGATTAAAACAGGCAATGTACAGCCTGTCTAAACTAAAGGAGAATCAGTTGCACTGGCACATACAATATATATATGTTACAATCACATCTCTCATGAACCCAAATAGAGCAAACGATACATTGTTTCTTCCAAAAAGAGACAAAACAGCAACATACAAATGAAAGTTCTCAAGTCCATGTGTTTCCAATTCACCCTCGACTTCGTCTATCTTTCCTCCAGGGAGAGAATGAAAACACGGGAAGGAGAACGCTCGACTCAGTTATATGGTAAACCCAAAAGGCTACCACCTAAATCCAACATGTAAACCTATCAACTTGGTCCACAGACACCGGAGAAAACAAATCCTAGACCCCTCATCAACACCATTTACAACTGCCAAGTGTTGCTAGACACAGATGAGGGAGAGGGAGGGAGACTCCTAGTCAGACATGCACGATGCTGCCATTTCGATGTTGAGGTGTGAATGTGTGCATTATCATATCTCATCACACCCAACAAATTGTTCCCAGATATGACCATGGGAGCTTAGGCTCCAGCTTCTCGTGCTGACGCAGCACCTGGACATTTCCCAACGACGATGAGCAGACCGTTCTTCTGGCAGCCATCGGCGACCACCGGCTGATACTCCCTACACGGGAAGGCCCTGTTCTTGAAGTTCCACTCCAACGCTACCTTGCCCTATAAATAAATAATACATTTTCACATATAGATCAGAACACAACCATATACGGTTCAACGGTTGAAGACAAAACTTAATAAAAACAAAATCTAGTTAAACAGGTTCTTCAAATGCCGGAAGCCATATCGACTTCTCTTGGGATAATTAAGCTGAATCCTTTATTACGAGGATTATACGACCACTATCACAATATGCAAAACAAATAACAACATCAAACAAAATAGTACCCGAGGCAGAAAAGGTAGTAACAACAGATAGACACTCATGACCATCCGTTCAAACTCAGGACAAGAGCAACACAAAAAATGAAAGCAGATGGGGTCCATGAAAGCTTCACCTGAATCTTGGCGGGGCTGATTTCGCACACTTTCTTGCTCCTGAAGTTCAATTTCTTGATTGGGAGACACTCCCACCTGAAGTTGTGGTAAGCCTGGTACATCCTTGACGCCCCGGTCGGGTTCGTGAAGTTCACGAACGCATAACCCTTGTTGGCCCTGGTTCTTATCAATATCAAAGTCAAAATCTATCAAAGAATGTCAAATGATGAATCCAACAGCGAACACAAGCAAAGCAAAAGATAACCAACAATCCGTATCGTGAAGTACTCAAAACAAACAGCAAAATTAATGGCCAAGATCGAGCTCGTTACTTGAAGTCCACTGGGAGGTAGACGAAGTCGTACTCAGATTGGTCCTCCTTTGAATCCGCCATGGCATTCGCTTCATCGCAATGCTTGTCCAGAATGTACAACAAATCTTTCCTCCTAAATCAAACATAAAACGATAACAAAAGTGTGATCAAAACAAGCAATATCAGTAATAAATGATGGAATATGGTCGTCTATTGTTTCACACGAGGATATGTCCACTGCATGTAGAGCAATAAATGCTCAAATAAATCGCAAGAGTGTTCAGCCGTGGGACTTCGGAAGTCAAACCGACACTAACGACCTTTCATTACCCACTTCCCCGTTTCAAGATAAATAGCCACAAAATATAAGAAATTTCAGCAGAAAGAAGTACCAAAACTTGTTCAAATAGCAAGAACACAAGCGAACGCACTTGAACTGATTAGGGATGTTCCGTATCATGACTGTCGTGCTTCCGTTGAGTAAAACTTCCGGATCATCGCGAACAACATCGTCGTTCGTCGCATTCTCCGCAACAACCCAAGCCTTACCAAGAACAGCTTCATCGAAACGATGTCTGTTCTCGTCACTGCTATCGTGTTGTTTCTGAACCCATTTTCTCTCTCCGCAGGACGACCGGGTCAGATTTCTATGCCTCTGTCTCTCTCTCATCGACCGAGGAGGCACGAGGCTCGTCACACCGCCTCTCCTCCTCTCCTTGCCAAAGGGTGTTCTTGGAACCTCCATTTTTCCGAGCTTCTTCCCAAGATCGCCACCGAAGACTGGGTGGGGCCTTTTCGGGGTGACATGCTCACCATATTTGATGGGTCGAGGGCGAAACGTCAGGTGGCGTTGAGGGTTCAGATAATAGTAAACAGGCGAAGGGCACCCCCAGCTCGAGAACACCAGGTGTGGAGCTTGAAACTGATGATGCTGGAGCTTCTGGGGAGCGAAGTGAGGTGGCGTGTAAGGCTCGGCCAGCGGATTCAAACTGGGCTTATCATCCCCTTCCGACGTTTTGGAGAGAGGAGAAGAAGCCCCGCTGGGTTTCTGGCACATGCTGTGTGGAACAGGGCACAATCTTCTCTCTCGTTTCTTTTCCGAACAGCTCTTTTCCACCGCGCAAGAGGCTAGGGTTTACGAGTTTATATCACCCTTTTTTCCTTCCGTCTCTTTTTCAATGGGAAAAAGCCAAAAGACAAGCAGAGTTGGGACAGAAGTTTCAAGTTTGTGTTGGAGCAGAGCTCGAGGGGTTCATCATGATGGCGACGGGTATTAGAGACTTGAGAGAGAGAGAGAGAGAGAGAGAGAGATGTGAAATGAAAAGTCTATTTTTGCAGGGTGTTTGGTGTCGCGTAGAGGTGAGAAAATAAGGGGATAAGAGATCTGAGCAATGATGAAAACCGGGAATATGGAGAGATCGTGTACAGTGGTGTCCCTCCATTCCATTTAATGCTCGCCATCAGAAGATGACAAACCTCGGCTTGCAGCGGCGGCTTCGCCATTCTGAAGAGACGGACAGGGGGAGAGGCACATGTAAGACATACCGGACATTGGAGTCTGCTCTGCGGATTTTCACGGTTCGTTTCGAAAATGGTAAATAAAGCGCGACGCGAGCCGAGTGAATTGTGTTTTTGCTAATTCGAATTGGCTTTGCGGATCGATGTAGCGATCCCTTCTATTAGGCACCCAAAAGGGGTGAGTACCGGAACCTTAGAATTGGATAGGTGAAAACCTATCGATTACAAGTTTTAGAATACGTAGGTAAGTTTCAGGTTCTAAAAATTAAAAAACTTTTTTTAACGGGTAGGTTAGAACCTAAAACCTAAAATTAAGTTTTTATGTTTTTCTTGATTTATATTTTCGTGACATCCTGTAGTATTCCATGGCGTCAGTATATAATCTGAAACTGCTAGTCTGAGCTTCCATTTTATGAATAAGACTTTTACTTTGTTAAAGTTTCATATTCTTCGTATGTCAAAATATAAATTGAGGTCAGTGGATTATAATATCAAGTTGTGATAATTAAAAGTGATGATTTGCTGCAATCGTTTAATTGATAATATGGGTGGAATATGAGTAAACTCTGGAACCGACCTTAGAACCTGTGATAGAGTAGGTTTCAAATTCCAAGATATGCAAAGTATATTTCAGGTTCAAAAAAATGAGAAACCTGCTCTCACGAGTAAGTTTCACGTTTCAGATGAAACTTGTAAGGAACCTGAAACCGCTCATCCCTGGCAACCAACTTATTACTTGAGGATTTAGCTACCATTGCGATGGTTTCCTCATATATTCGAGCTAGGATAGTCTCTAGAGCTTTCTATATTCTTGAGGAAGTGCTGAGATTTTGAATGGAAAAGTTTTAAAGACCTTGGCTGGCGAGCCACGATCACTGTCCGAAGTTTATTCCTTTCTTGGATTCCTGATGTTTTATTTTTATTTCTAACTTTTTCAAATCGTCTGTTGCGATCGACCTTAAAAAATAGGTGTCAACATCTTATTTATATTCATCCATATTAATGTTGTCACATTTTATTCGATCAATAATTTAGTCGAATTCGGCTTTGAATCGTGTATGCTACACAAACCGAGGTGAGAAATTTTTGAAGTCTTTATATCAATGCGGAGCAATAGTGTGGCAATGATTTTTGTTTTGCCACGTGGCGCGGACAGTGGATGGAACCAAATCCATCAAACATGGTATAATCTATCATCATCCAGAACGGCCTACTTGTTAAGTCGTGGGTGGATTGGACAAGTCATTAATGAAGGAGGGTCAAAATCCCTGGATTTGGGCATGGGAAGGACGATTTCATTCGTACACAAACACGAACCGAAGCGCGAAACTTGAACATGCCATGTACCTTTTAATTTAGTCTCGGATCAACTTTCCATTCAATTCCCACCAAGAAACTTTCAATTGTCTGCTCGAAAGGAACCGATCGTTTTCTCAATAGGGAAGAACTTTTGGGGAAAGTATCCGGAATTTCTTTGATTTGAGGGTGATCCTCTTCTTAGTTTTTGTTTGTTGATGGAAAAGCATAGTGTAAGTAGGTTGAAATTCTCAATCCCATGTTCAATGTTCACGGTTATAGACCGAGTGCTGTTGTTTGGGTTATGGTTGTATTGGTCTGATCAAGGCTTGGCTGGTGAAATTTTCCAAATCATTTAATCAAGGACATCTTTTATTTCCCACACCCTACTCTCAAAAGAGTCCACTAAGTTATAAGTTCTTCATCAATTGTCCGGGTGTCCAGAAAGTGCGCCACGTTTTCTTCATTTTAAACATGAGTGCTTTTCACATACGTGATACAACAATCAGAAATCTTCTCTATTTAGGAACGGAGTGAAAAATAGGCAATTCATAAAATGCCTCATTTTAATCTTTTGGATATTTGTCTCGCGGCTACCACTAGAGAAGGAGTATACTATTTAAGGTTGGGGAAGTTCTCATCGAAAACTCAATTTCGAGGAAGGGAACAGATTAGGTTCGGTAGCAAGGGGAAAGTTTTTTTTTACGTAACTATCATCCGCGCGTAGCATAAATGGCACTAAAGTTCCATTATGTCATGACTATGTCATTATGGATACTGTCAGCACTATTCCTCAATAAAGAGCAAATTGTTATCTAGACTCCATCCATGGTAAGCAAGGTTAGTCTCAACCGTTAATGACTCGAGTCTTACTTGAATCCCAGGCCGGAGATGATCCATCCATATCCAAGTTGTAAGAGTTTCACATTTTCATCTGGGTTGACCTTGAGCAGATTAGGGTTTCACCTTTCACCTGAACCCTTTTTTTAACTTCTGCAGTTTCTGCTTGCATTGTTCCGGTTAGACTCCAACGCAAAGAAGAGGGCTAATACCACCCTCCGTATTTGCTATTTGCGAGTAAAAAGCCCTCGTTCCTTGTCCTGTTTCTGTTTTCTTCTTTATGAACTTCACCTTCATACGCATGCATGCTCATATAGAGCTGCGCTGTATAAATTGCATCCGTGTATCTGCTTTCTACATTGGTGTCTTCTGAACCACATTGTTTTATGCAAAACTGACTCCAATCTGTGCTTGACGTGGCTTTCCATACCATACAAAGCCTACCAACTCTCTCTCTCTCTCTCTCTCTCTCTCTCTCTCTCTCTCTCCACACACCCACACACACACACACACACACACAAACACACGCATGAACAAAAGCTAGAACCATGTAAGTAGACTTGTGCTAAAGATGGGGTTTTGTGGGTTTGACCATTCCTTTCTGGGCATACCTCAGGCCTTATATCATTGGATTTATGCAAATGCAGATGAATAATCACGAGCAGATATAACATTCTCAATATGTGTGTCAAAGGCTCAAGTAGTAAGGAAAGATACACATATATAGCGCAGATTCATTTATGTAATCGTTAGTTATTATTCCCCAGATCAATCTCTGCGTCTCTGTCCCATGAGAGGACGAGCCAAAATGAACTCGCGGCGGCTGAGCATGTGCCCAGTCTACAAATTCCTCTCTTCTTATGATGGTTCTCTTTTACTCTTCGGCACTTTTGGACATGTATATTAGATTGCTCTATTTCTTGGTCAAAGACTCTGAGTCCTTACATATATTTCACGTTCATACGTTCAAAAGTTGCATAATAACATCTCTCTCTCTCTCTCTCTCTCTCTCTCTCTCTCTCTCTCTCTCTCTCTCTCTGAAAAGTAAATCTGCTTGTGCCTGCAAGGGAAAGATTATGCAGCACATCTCTGTTTTTCAAGCTTCTCTCCATCTCTCCTTTTCACCCCTGGGTTGACCTTCTTCTTGTGCAGAAGTGCTTGCTTGTTTTGGCAAACTCCAACTCAGAGAAAGGAGGCAGTGCCATCCTGCATGTTTGCTCTTCGCATGTAAAGGTCTCGTTTCTCGTGTCATGTATTGTTTGCATTCTTTTTCTATAAGTTCGCTTCATGTACGTGGTATGTACATACTGCACCTGCAATTACGCATGTCTTTTTCTACGTTCCAAAAAATAAATCGCCATCTAAATAATAATGCACGACACAGTGTACTTACGAGAATTTGTGGAACCAAATGTCATTTGTTCTAAAAATTTAAGTTGTTGATGAAAGTATGGTCATGTGGTATCCAATTGCTATTGATTACAATATAAGCAAGCAATCGGGTAGAACAATCAACCCCAAAGCCAAGGTTGACATGCACATTCATCTGCCAATGCTACTACGATAGAGGCTTCTCCCAATGAATTGTTTGTCGCTCTCTCGTTACAGAATTTTCATTCCATTCTTTGAAAATCTTGTACTTCTAGCTCGTCTCTTTATTATGATATATCGATCGCTGCAGGTAATTCTGATTCATGGTATTATGATTCCGCTTGTTGCAATCATATGACATCAAATTATTATTTGTTTCGGTCAAAATCATGCCTTCACATGCACCTACTATTCACATAGTTGATAATTTTCTAATGCAAGTCAGCCATATAAGAAACATTTCCACATTCACATTGTCCTTACCTAACACTTTCATGGTTCCCAAACTCTCTCAAATTTGATTTTAGTAGGACAATTCTATGAACTTGGATATTCACTTCTCTTCTCATGGCTGTTATGTGCAGGATCCATGGACGAGACAGATCATTGGAACTGGCTGTATAGTAGGACGTCTATTTGAGCTCGTTTCCTTAAATATTCCCAACTCTTTTGTTGGTTGTGCTGCCACAATATCATCTGAAACTTGATGTTCTCGGTTAGGTCATCCTTCTTCTTCTAGATTAAAATCTTTGATTTCAAGTGGTCATTTAGGTTGTATTGATGACAAACATTTTGATTGCTTGCCTTGCCAATCAAGAAAACATCATGCCTCACCGTTTGATCTTAATGAATCCGTCTCTCATGCTCCCTTTGATTCACTCTGACATTTAGGGACCTTCTCCAACACCTACCACGAGAGACTCTCGCTATTTTGTCATTTTTGTTGACGATTACTCTTGCTATAGTGCTTTTTCTTATGAAAAATCAATAAGAGGTTACTCGTATCTATCGTGATTTTGTTGCCATGATAAAAACACGAATATCTAAAGATATCATGGTTTTTCGTATGGATAATGCCATGAAAATTGAGACACGAAATCTCTTAATTTTCTCTTCCAACACGGTACTATTATTCACTGTTCATGTCCAAACACTTCCCAACAAAATGATCGCACAAAACGTAAGCTTAAGT